GGCTACTCCTTTAACGACAGCATTAAGGGAACAATATTAAGCATCACAAAATTAAGATACTTTTGAGTTGCAAAACAGATTCCTATTAAAGGACTTCACATTTCAGCCAGTGTTATACCAACTCACATCAGTTAAAATGTCTACAGATATGCACAATGAATTACTGAACTGTATTAGCTTCTCTCTCAAAGAGATCAAAATAAATCCTGTTGAATTAAAGCTAATTTAATATGGCATAATTTTTCCCCTTGCTGTCATTACTTGAATGACAGCAAGTCTACAATTATGCATCTTCAAAGATAATATAGTATTTACTAACAAGTTATGCACAAAAAAGTTACATAAAATTGATCCTACATTATGAATAGCTTTACTGAATACTGAGGTTTTTTAATTCCTCTTTCTGATACGCCCTTTTAACACATTTAAGGCAGGGGGCATTGACAAAAGTATGCTAGGTCAGGCGATATTTTGTGTAATCAAAAAAATTTAGACTTGATAAAAAGTTTATTTAAACTCTTAAAACTACAAGAAATATTTAAAAAGAACTGAACACTAATTACAAAAAATGTTTTAAAGTACATATTTATGAGAAGAATCTAGTATTTTTTTTATAAATGTGATAATGTTGATAACACTCGCCATGGTGAAGAGGTGTATTGCAAAACTCGCATTTGAAGCAAGTCAACTTTCTCTTTTTATGTGCCACACAAACTACGCAGTTTCGTTGGGCATATAGCTTTTTGCCTTTATTTTCTATCCGAATTAATTTGTTCTTTTTGATGTGTAGCAAAAGACGTCCAGGCCGATAAATTTTATATCGTGGAGTCTGTGGTGACGAGTTCGATGTACCAGGTTGTGGCTCTTCAATGTCCATCAAATCGTCTCCATGTATATATCTGTATTTTCACGTGAAACCATAGCAAAGGATTTCAAAATTTACTGTAAGTAGAATTTGAACAACTGAACAGCTTCAAACCACAAAATATACTAAATACAAATGTAAAGTGGCGCATGGATTGCTCAATCTATGCGCTAGCTACAGTCGAGATAAATCATATTACTACGACTCCCACCTTTAAGCTACAATCGAGATAAACAGTAGTACTTACTATGACTCCCGCCTTTAATGTGTTAATTTTTTATCAGATCAATGAGTTGCAAAACCCCTACTACATGCCAATGTGCAGCAAATAATAAATAAAAAATTTTTTATTGGGAATCACCTTAAATGGAATACTTTACAACCTTATCTCGAAAACTAAATATAATAAAACGTTTGGCAAGATTTAATTATAAAACAGAACATGACACCTAATATTAAATTAGCCAAACCTGATTAGAAATAAATTGAAAGCTTAATGCATGGAATTTCATCTAAAAACAAACATGACAGCTAATGCATTCGATACTTTCACATCCTTAGTGCGAAGGACCTAACCTACGTAACACTAGAGCTCCCAGCATTCTATTCCTTAGAAAGCTAATCCTGTGGATACCAATACGTATCTCCAAACTATAAAACTATACTTGGGTTGATCTTTACAATATGGTAACTGGTAGTTTAGCGACATTTGGAGGCGATAAAGGTTACTACCTGGGACTTTGGTAATAATGTGGAGCAGTACTCAGTTCCGATTACGCATTATATTGCTGAGGGAAATGAGAGATCATGGGATATTCATGTGATATTATGGAAAATTACGGTTCTTTAATCGGAAAAGGGGGAAATCGGGAAAAATGTGGAAATTTTGTATTTAGCTTTATTCTGTGTTGTGTAATTTTTGGATCCCTGGCCTAACTAAAGTGATTCGAAAGGGGTATTTGGCATTGTGATAAAGAGAAGTTTGCTTTTTATTTAGCGGAGGAAGATGGAGGAAAAATTCGCAGAAAAATCTTTGAATAATTTATTGAATGATTAGAAAGTGCTCCGCCACGTATCAAGATTCTGAGATTAGGTAAGTTAGTATTTTTAATTATTTGAGGATATTTTTATGCCATTGTTCTAAAATGTAAGCTGGAAAGGATTTGGTATTATTGGGAAAATGTTATTAGCAATGATTTAGTTTAAAGTAATTAGGATTGTAAGGCATTTTTATTAATTTAAGTATGTGCTCAATTATATTTTAAGTAGTGTTTTTGAATTTAATTATATTTAATGAAATGACAGTTATTTTGTGAATTTATGTTTGTAGGAATTGGTATATGTTTAAGTTGAAATAAACGTGCATGGAAATAATTTAAATATTTGATACTAAGTATTTGTAATACTTGCAGTATGATTTGTTGGTGACGTGTATAATGTAATAGATGATTTAGAGGTAAAAGTTTTGGATATTTTATTTATTTTATGGGAAATGTTCATATTTGGAAAGGGTAAATACTTTTCGCGATCAGTAATTCATATGTTCTTTACCGGGTTTAAAGATTGAGAAATTGTCATGTATTTTCGTGAAATTTTCTAATTTATGAGAAAAAAGCGTGACATGGATATAGTGAAGAGTGTGCGCATGCCATTTTGTGCAATTCTGGGATTTTTTAAGTAAAAATAAATCGGTGTGTACATGGTTATGTTATGTGTTATTATTGAAAAACCGTAAGGTGTTGGTATTTGCATTTTCCCAATTTTGCAGTGAATATTTGTCATGATAAGCAGTTTTGTTGATAAAATTTCTAGCTAAGGTAATTCGGCTAGTAGATTGTTGGAAGAAGTGTTCAGTAGATAAGAAGAAAAGACACGTCTTTACTTCGTGAAGACAAAATGGCGGCGGATAAAAAAAAATAGAGGGTTGCTGTAAAAGAGTTGGTTGCCAAATTTTCGCCAAAAAATCGCCAAGTTACCATAATGTAAAGATCAACCCTATATTTTCTTACATTTATAGCTTACAAGAAGGCATTTTTAAGTTTTAATTAATGGTAATATTTTTAAAGCAATGAAAGCCATTACCCTAACAGATACTGCTCTGTCTCACTCTTAGTTTTCACAAAAGATTTTAATGTTAGTGTTCTTTAAGATGTTCCGATACTCACCTGTTATCAGGACAGAAGTCAGAAGAGTATGTATGCATGTGCACCAATATGTATACACACACAGGTACATATGCATGTTCATATATACATGCACACATAAATGCATACATATATACATACTTTGTTCATTTCTAGAGACCAGGTCCTGATAACAAAACAGCACCGTTATTCTAGAGACTAAAATTATCGAATTAACACTGTAGAAGTATACAGGACATTTCTGGCAATGTGGAGGTAATTAAACAGTGAGTGTAATCATACTGAACTACTTTCTCGATCTGAAAAAGGGCTAAAATACTGAATAGAGAAAAATTAAAAGCAGTGTGGAAGAAACATGCAGAGAAAAGTTAAAAGCAGTATGGAACACATGGAAGAAAACGATGCCATAATATCCAAAGTCCAAAAAAGAAAATAATCAATAGTCTGTTATGAAGAAAAACTAAACTGCATTAGAAAATGAAAATTAGAAATGGTTCTCCATAAGAAACAATACATTATACTAAAAACTGTTAAGACATTTCAACATTTTCATTCCTAATCTATTTTTCAGTATACAATAATAAAATAAAACCAAAATTTATGCCCATTTTCAGTACTATTGCTGGGCTAGGAAATAAAAAAATTAAATGAGAAAATTAAAAAACTTTTAATATCAAGGAATTTTCCAAAATATATTTGACAATGAAATAAAACTCACTGAAGCAGTGTCTATAAGAATGAACGGTTAACAGTAATAAAATATTAAAACTTCTTTCAAAAATGTATTTGATATCTTATTTTAAGTATGCTATTTGTTATAGATTCAATGATTCATCATGAGTGTTTTACTTTATGAACTAAGTATTATTAAAGCATATTTGTTTTCATCTAGTTCTTCCTTTTTTGTTTATCATGAATGTATTACTATCAATTATTAGAAAAATCATACTCGCATATCGATATACCTACATTTTATACACATGAATATATTCTATATTTTTCTTATATAAACAAATATGATAAAATTTGGTTTTGGTACAATTCAGTTTTATTTGATTATCTGGAAACCACATGACAGTTATCTGCTTCAGAGGATGGCCTTCAAGGTGGGCTATCTAAGGGAAACCGGGTCATATTCACGTAAACATGTGGAGAAAAACCATGAAAATGGCCGTGCAGCCAGCCTGTTTGCGAGATTCAAATACAGATCAAATAGCAGTTTTCAGCAACTTTACCACATGTTGGCCTTTACCTGTGCCGACTTTACCACATGATATAATTTGAATACGTTATCACAGAAAAGTCAAATTTTCGAGTTTTGCTCTAACTGCTTGAAAAATTAATTTGTTTGCAGAACAAATTAATTCAGCAGAACATGAGCAGGTAGCAAAAAACACAAATATATTTTTAAAAAAAGAAGAAGCATATAACATAAAAGTTGTCAGCATATTTCAATACATTCTAAATTAGAAAGCTTTATGTATTTTCATGTAATATAGTAAAATATAAATTATAATAAAATAATCAGTATATTTCCAACATTATGTAGTTAAATATGCTCTAAACCACTGATTTTTTACCCTTTTCTTCCCCTTGCATTCGTTTCACCACTGCTAGATCATTCCTCCTTTTCCACAACTCGAAAACAATATATTTTAGATAGTTTTTTAATGGTACAACAAGAAGCAGGTGGAGTAAGGCTGACAGCCTTTCTCCCTGGTTGAGAAGCCCTTCTCAAGACATCTAAAATGTTTTAATTTACTTGATATAAAGTTAAATAATAACGTATATACATGCAAATCTGTAAACATTTGAACACAAAATTTTTTGTTGAATTATATGAATATGCAAAATAAAGTTAGCAACAACAAATAAAAGAGATAAATTAACAGAAAACTTAAAACTCTGAGGAATATATTTAAAGAAAATAAAGAAAACATTTCATTTTTTTTTCTCCAAATTCCTCTTTTAAAAAATGTAGCCTAACTTACTCTATTTACTACATCAATCACAGGAGCTTTTCCTTCTGGATGATTTTTGTATGTTTCCCTTGTTTTCTCAGAGACAAGAGACCAAAGTTTGTCTATATTTATAATGGGCATGTACTTCTGATTCTTCTTCAAATGAAAATTCCTCATTCCTACTTTTCCAAAATAACCAGGATGGCTAAAAAAATTCCAAGTTTAGACTTCAACACTAGTAACACATTTCATTCAACAGAAGATTCTTTGCATGCATAATACAAATGTTATAATAGCAATTTAAAAAAGCATTTCAGTTACAGACTATAGAATTTATGGCACTTTTCTGTTATCAGGATGTGCTTCAGAAATTTGTGTTTGTATATGTATACGTACATACATAAATACATACCTACACTTCTGAATCCAATCCCAATAACAGAAAAGTATCTAATTTATTTTCCTAACATTTTTTAAGTTACTTTATTTGCATACATGAGAGTAAAATAGTATTTGCCATACATGAATTTCCCCCTTGCTTATTTAACATACAATTTACATATTTATAATACTCTTAAAGGAAAATGAATGAGTACCAATGTACCAAGTGAAAGCATTTCGTACCATAAAAACACCTCCTGACAGATAATATGTAGTTGTATGTTGCCATAGAAAGATCAGATCGGCCTATTTTTTTATAGCCATGTGTTAAATTGAAACATCAGCGGAATTTGAAGAATAAGCAACAAAATGAATTTTTAAAACACATTTCATTTAAAAAAGATAATAAACACTGAAACACACAATATTGCTAAAAGAGGTTAGGGTTGATCTTTACAATATGGTAACTGGTAGTTTGGCGACATTTTGGAGGCGATAAAGGTTACTACCTGGGACTTTGGTAATAATGTGAGCAGTACTCAGTTCCGATTACGCATTATTTTGTGTGAGGGAAATGAGAGATCATGGGATATGTCATGTAATATTAATGGACGAATTACGGTTCTTTAATCGGAAAAGGGGGGAAATCGGGAAAAAAATCTGGAAATTTTGTATTTGGCTTTATTCTGTGTTGTGTGAAACAATGTTTGTTGAATTTTTGGATCCCATGGCCCGTAACTAAAGTGAATTCGAAATGGGTTATTTAGTGGTATTGAAAAGGGTAGTAATAAATGTTTCTTTAAGGTTGTGTGAGAGATAGAAATAAAGATGTTTTATTAAGTTATTTATTTTACTGGTACCTTGCTGTGAAATATATAAGTATGATTTTTAAAGATCCTGAAACAGAAAGAAGAAAAGTTTATCCGGACACGTAATCAAGATTCTGAAAAAGATTAGGTAAGTTAGTATTTTTAATTATTTGAGGATATTATTTTTATGCATTGTTCTAAATGTAAGGGTGGAAGTAAAGGAATTTGGTATTATTGGGAAAATTGTTATTAGCAATGATTTAGTTTAAAGTAATTAGGATTGTAAGGTAATTTTATTAATTTAATGTATGTGCTCATTATATTTTAAGTGGTGTTTGAATTAATTATATTTTAATAAATGATAGTTATTTTGTGAATTTTATGTTTGTAGGATTGGGTATACGTTTAGTTGAAGTAAACGTGCATGGAAATAATTTAAATATCTGACACTAAGTATTTGTAATGATTTGCGGTATGTATGAATTTTTGTTGGTGACGTTTATAATATAATAGATGATTTAGAGGTAAAAGTTTTTGGATATTTTATTTATTTTATATGTGGAAATGTTCATATTTGGAAAGGGTAAATACTTTTTCGCGATCAGGTAATTTCATATATGTTCTTTTTAAAGGGTTTAAAGATTGAGAAAAATTGTCATGTATTTTCGTGAAATTTTTCTAATTTATGAGAAAAAAGCAGTGTACATGGATATAGTGAAGAGTGTGCAATGCCATTTTTGTGCAATTCTGGGATGTTTTTTTTTAAGTAAAAATAAGTCGACGTGTACATGGGTTAGTGATATTTTAATTAAATGATAGTTATTTTGTGAATTTTATGTTGTAGGAATTTGGTATACGTTTAAGTTGAAGTAAACGTGCATGGAAATAATTTAAATATTTGATACTAATGTATTGTAATGTTTGCGGTATGAATTCGTTGGTGACGTTGTATAATGTAATAGATGATTTAGAGGTAAAAGTTTTTGGATATTTTATTTATTTATATGTGGAAATGTTCATATTTGGAAAGGGTAAATACTTTTTCGCGATCAGGTAATTTCATATATGTTCTTTTTACCGGGTTTAAAATATTGAGAAAATTGTTCATGTATTTTCGATGAAATTTTTCTAATTTATGAGAAAAAAGCAGTGTACATGGATATAGTGAAGAGTGTGCGCAATGCCATTTTTTTGTGCAATTCTGGGATGTTTTTTTAAGTAAAAAATAAGTCGGCGTGTACATGGTTATGTGTATGTGTTATTTTGAAAAACGCGTTAGTAAGGAGTATGGTATTGTGCACTTTTTCCCAATTTTGCAGTGAATATTTGTCATGATTAAGCAGTTTTGTTAGATAAAATTTCTAGCATAAGTGTAATTCGGCTAGTAGATTGTTGGAAGAAGTGTTCAGTAGATAAAAAGAAAAGAAACAAGTCTTTACTTCGTGAAGACAAAATGGCGGCGGGGAAAAAAGAGGGTTGCTGTAGGAGAGTTGGTCGCCAAATTTTCGCCAAGTTACCATAATGTAAAGATCAACCGGAGGTTAGAGTAGATTGAAGGGTACCTGTTGTATTATTGTAAAGTTGTTTCACTTATGGTGACCTGAGTAGTTTAATGTTATGGAAACCCTATTATGATGTAATCGGTTGTGTGACTGCGGTAAGTTTTTGATGACGGGGAAAGATTTGTAAGGGCTTGTGTGTGTTGATAAGGAAGTACATTACTTCATTGTGGCTTAGATGATAGAATGGCTGAATGTGGTAAGATTAATTTGAAGTTTCTTTATGATTTGGAATGAAAGGGGAAAAGAGCATTAATTGACTGGTGTGTAAATGCAGGTTTACTTAGTAGCCACTATAAGTGTCCTGTTTGTAGGAAGGAAATTCGTATGGTCAAATGTAATGATCGTTCAAAAAGCTTTGTCACAAGAAAAGGTTCACGCAGGAAATGCCCCCAACAGTCTGGCACTATGGAGGATATTTTCCCCCTTTTTTGTACATTTCTGTGGAATTGCCAATATATGGATTCTAGTCCAGATAATTTTAAGAAGTTTTACTATGCTGTTAAGGAACTTTGTGTAACACAGAAATTTCTAAATAAGGTAAGTAGATATTTGCTTTGTGTAGTGCTTAGATGCACAAGATGAATTTTCTTTTTTGTTATTTTATTGTTCATTTAAAATGTAGTTTATTGAGATATGTATTTTTTTTTTTTTTGTTTGGCTCTACTGTAGAATTAGGTACTCCTTTGACTTAATAGATCAATGTGTAAAAGGACAGAGGTCACGAAAGTGCGCAATGCCAAATTTGTGCAATTCTCTATTTTTTTTTTAATTGAAAATAGGTCGATGTGCACATGCAGAGTTTGTGCAAGTCTTTTGGTTTTGTGTAGCGGCTACCTTGAAATTGCCACCAATCTTGGTGTGAAAAAAGAAACGATTTGCCAAGGGGTACCGTACAGTATATTTTTTACCTCCATATTGTTATTAATAAAAATTATCAAAGTATAAAATACTTACTATTTATCAAAATTTATTCTGTGATGATGCATACCACCAGCATTACCACGGCCACCAGGATGCTTACGATGTTTTCCTAAAGATTTGAGAAAACACTGCTTAATTTTTTTACTCACAAAAAGAAAATTCTCTTGGTTAAAAGAACTATATTTTTATCATATATACGCTACTAAAACATTTCAAAACGACAACCCGATAATTACATCTCATGACATATTCCATGAAAATAATTTGCACAATTCTCTTAAATTTTTGTTAATTTAAACTAAACCGATATGTAGGTGGGAAGCAGTGCCAATTTGCTATGCAAGACTGAAAAATTCTGCAATTCTCGGACCACCCCTTTTTTTAAGTTAAAACACATCACTGCCCATATGGACATAAGACCAAGAATATTCAGAAAGGTAAGTCTTTATGATGGATGGTTGTTTAATTCAGTTAATTTGTTACTGTTTCATGAAATTTTGAGTGCTTTGTTATGGATGTTGATTTCATGTAATTTTTTACTTTTCATTATGGATGATGTCTCCTGCATTTTTAATTTTGGAAGCACTTCCCCAAAGGATCCGTTAAATGTAAACATTGGCAAAAATGGCGATAAAAGTTCAAAGCTGGTAACCCGTCGAATTGGTTTGTCGGAGCTAACAACCAGGTTGTACAAGGGCTTGCCTTAGACAAAGAATATTTCTCATCTGTTCGGGGCTTTGTTTTGCCGCTGGCTAGAGGTGCATCACTACCAGATGAGGTGGTGAAAATCGGCGGGTGTGAATGATAATTGATAACACGGCTGTTTAGAATAGTAGCTGTGTACATAATTTTTATAAGACTTTAAACACGCAGAACCATAGGCGTTTTAAGATATGATTAACGTGGGCTGCAATAATATATGTTTTAAATAATTAAGATTTCATTTTTATTACTGTTATTTTTTCCTAAAATAAGAATTAAATCAGTTTTCGTGCTTAAAAATTTGATATATTTTTAATGCATTTTAACAGTTACTTTTCAGAGGATGCTAGGTATACAATAGATGATTAGAATGAAATAAAAATTATTATGAGCTTCCTGAGATGACAAAATACTTTTATGTATTCCCAGGGTCATCAAAGTTAGTAAACCACTGCTTTGAGTAATTAATCAAAGTTTAATTGAATCTTGAAAGATAACAAGATGCATGTTTTTTCTAGTGTTATTTACAATGCTACTTTAAAGGATTTGAATATTATTGATGATTCTTGGCATTGTCAAATTTACTATGAAAAAGGCAGTTGTTTCAAAATTAAATATTTTAAGCTATCAGCAAGTAAATTCAAAATAACTTCGAAAAATTGCTTGTGAAAAATGAATTTAGTAATGAATCCATTAATTAACTAATTATTAAACAAAATTTTGAGAATATCGACAAGCAAAGCACTTAATGAAAAAGACACTTTTCTACTAAAACTATTAGTATTCTGTATGAATGACAGAGAACACATGTAATAAATACCATGGCCAACCTATATAAAGAAAAAAAAAACAAAAAAAGTATTCTCTACTTCGACACTTTAAAAAGAGATCCTGCTATGCAACACATAGTTAATTTCTAATTACATGATATTGCAAGCATTTTCTTCAGATTTTTCCTACAACCAGTTAAGACTGTTGAATACTGGTAGTTTGATCTGGTTTCATATCATGGTTGATTTTTTTAGTTTTCCTCATATGTAATGCAAATACAAGCCAGTTTCCCTTACAGAGTTGTTCAAAAAGGTATCCTTCTTCAGGTCGATAGCCGGTATTCTTTGCCATATTCGAATAACCTAAACTTTCCTTCAGATTCTACAATGACATGTTATATCTGTTGTAAGCAGGACAATGATCATTCAGCTTCTATCCGTGTGACAGGAGTATATTTAAAACATGTCAGAACCATGGCATTCACAATAAAATAGACGTTTTAATTTTGAAAACTTTATAAATTTTCCCGATTTTCTTACGTCATGGGTTTCACTAACAAGATATTCATACTTTTGTTCAAGTTCACAAGCAGCTGAGCAATACAATTGCTAAATACTGGTAATTTGACCCAAGTTTGAAACTTCAGTATTCAGTATCTTGGGCCATCACACTGTCATGCCCCATAAAGTTAGTACTGCTTGGCATAATAACAATCTCACTTGACCATGTTACCCACTTTGTCAAAACTAATATATCAGCTGCTGTCTCTCCAAAGACTCACTATAATAGAGATTTAAAAGGATCTTTCTTAGAATACAAATAGGTTTGTCAACATCTGGCAACAACTCATGAACTTTTCATGCAAATCATTTACGACTCATTTCAGATACAACATCTTGAGAAGTGTTTCATCTGCCTTTTTCATACATAATAATGTTGTCATGTTTAATTTCATCAGGCCTGATACAAAGTCAAATAATGGAACTGCTGGTTTTTCCCACATTTGTTATAAGGAGAAATAATTTTAATTCAATGATATCGTCGAACTGGAATTATCCTAGGGTACATATTAATTTGTCAACAGCATTGGTTATTTCATAAATGGAAATGAGAATATTGTTTTTTCCATTCTCCATTGGATAATCTAAATTGCACTAATATATACAGCACTGAATTATATCCATTTTAAGATAAATTCACAGAACATCATTTCATATAAGTTTCCAAACATCTTTTCAGAGATGGATTTTCTTAGAAGATTCAGATAATGAAGATCTACTTAGTGATCATCAGTCTGAATCAGAAAGAGTGCTACTCTTCAGAAGACATTCCTTGTGATCAATGTGACTATTTTATACGAAAAGATAAAACAACAAAATGTAAGAAAGAAACCTTTCGAATTTAAAAACGCATGGCTTCCCATAATATCATAAAAAATTTAAATTATCTGGCAATATACATATATCTAAAGATGTGGCTTCACCTATCAATGCATGGAAGTTAATATTTGATGACACAATGACTGAAATGATTGTGAGATGCTCTAATATTTATGTAAAAAATATTTTGGGAAATTTTAAAAGAGATGCAAAACCTATGGAGAAAGAATTTCTTGCTTTTTTAGGATTCTTATACATAGCTGGATTGCACAGAGAATTATGGGCTGATGGAACAGGATTGGATATTTTTCGTAAAACAAATGAACTATAAGCATTTTCTTTCTCAGGTCAGCAGCCAGATGGGCCATTCCCAATTCTATTATTACAACTGAGTTTAAAAGATTGTATCTAGCAATATCTCATTCCTTTTTTCAGGCTTTTATAACCTTTTTTTGCGCTATCCTGTACCTTCAATGTTTTACAATTTTTTTTAATTATTTACAAATCATCCAATGTTCTCAAGCAGAGCACATGGTTTATAATCACTGATTGTATACTTTTTTTTAATTCTGAACCAGTAATCCTAGCAACCAGCACTATGTATGACAATACAATAATAAAGATTTGATCCGACTAGAATTACATGCTAAGGACAAATTTTCGAGGAAATATATTAGGCATAAAGAAAATGAACATACCGATTCGCCCATGTCCATGACTCACATGCCCTCTAAGCTTCCTGGTCTTCTTTTTGTGTGTCGACTATAAAATTAAATAAATAAAAATGAAATACATAAAATAACGTAAATTCTGTTAAAGAAAAAGTAGTAACGCAGCTCATCCAAGTCAAGCGACAGTACTTTAACTTAAAACTCTAGTCCATCTTTCAAAAACTATTAAGTGAATTAACTCTGAAACACAAGATGTGTGTGAACTGTTTTTGCGCGTATTTATTTCACATTTGATTTTTTTACATAAGTTAAAATACATGCTTTTAAAGTAATTATTAAATATCTGTATTCAAAAAATGAAATTTAATCCAAGTTGGAATATCTGCAGTACTCATAACTAGCGGAAAGAGACACGAGGAGTTATTTCATACTATTTTACTGAGAAGATACATGGTGTGAAATAACTCCTCGTGTTCTGCATAAAGCATCTTTTAGAGAATACTTTCCTATTTCAGAAAATTTCTTAAACAAACATCGCTGTGCTTAACGTTTGAGGGAATACGGGAGTCAGTTTATGATATTTGCAAGTTTTCAGTATCTATTTAATGAGTGTAGTACACAAACACTTTTCTAATAAATTCTTAATAATTCAAGTATCTCGAAGCTTAATCAAATTACATTTATTATTTAAAGAAATATAAGATTCCACATTTAAGATGACCTATTACATAAACAGGCCTCGACAACCAAAAAAACACTTTCTTGCCAATCTGCAAAAATTCAAAATGACCACCAAAAACACCATTCTCATCTACAATTTTTCTCAAAAATTAATCAAAAAATTAATTTATGCATAAACCACTTTCGATTAATAAAGATTATAACTTACCATACTCACAGATCAGGAAGCTCTCCCTTGGAAACTTCAATTATTGACGGGGCTTCTTAGTCAAGTTGAGGTGTTTCATTCCTGCCGATCAGAGAAATAAGATTAAACTGCGGCTTAGACACGGTTCGATGTAAATACTCAAGCCTAACCGTAACTACATTAGAACACTTTATTGATAACTTTGGAAATTTTATCTAGTTTTCAGAAAACGTTATAAAGTGATTATTTACAAGTGAGTTATAAGTTATTAGGAAATTACATGGTCTGATCTTATTTCCTTTCTCAAAAATATCTACTTACGAATCGAAAAGGGTTTGAATAAGGCTTCTATATTATTATGTTGAACTGCGGTGCTTAACCACCCTGAATCATCTGCCATTCGGGAGACCAAATGGGAACATTAATGGCGCGGCTGTATAGGTAGCAGTGCAACAATTTATTGTGCTTTTTTGTGTAAAATGGTCGGGTGTGCAGCTATTAGTTGCTCAAATCATTCATAGAAAGGTTCATATATTGGTAAAAATTTCCTAAAAACCAAGAAATGAAACATTTGGGTAAATAATTGCCGAACAGATAGTTGGGAACCTCGTTCAGGTGCTCAGTTTTGCCTAATTAGTACAATATTATTTACTCTTTCAATTAGAGTTTATACCTTCTCAAATGTTTATAATCTGCAAGTAAAGTAAAATGTGTACAATAACCTAAGTATCTGCTAATTTCTCTCATAATAGCTATAATTAAATTGGTCCAGGGTAAATGTATCCGTCGCAAACAATGCCGGAAGTTTTGAATATGGGAAAGAATTCCGCTTCTGATTTAATACATGGATTTTTGTTTTCGTTTGCTAAATGTGAAAATTATAGTAATGTAATATTAAAATAATTAGCATATTGAAATTTATAAAAAATAAATAATAATTTGAGAATTATAATTTAGAAACGCAATTTAAAATCTGAATGTTTAGCAAAGATACTATATGTAACGTAATAAGTTTAAATATCGTTGACAATACTTCCAATTTTTTTACTTATTTTATATTCACTATGGTTGAAAAGTTAGATGAGTTGATTATGCATGGTTCCCACTACCTTTTCTTGGTTAATGTTGTGGATGCAGATGCGATGTGTATTGCTATGATAAACCAAACGTAACACTATGAAATTAATTAACTATTTTTTGAATTGACAGAATGCTTTGCGGGCCGCTATATGCGAAAACAAAACTGCAAGTGCGTAGTTCCACATGAGTGGGTTCTAAACAAGATGCGCCAAAACGGGTGCCAAGAACAAGATATCGCCAAATGCATTGAAAACATATTAATCATATTCTATATTACATAATACATTACAGTTACAAGACAATTAATATATAAATTTACAAAGTACAATAATACAATACAATTATAAAAAACGAAATAACACTGTTAGCAGATTGTTAAATCAAAAATAGTTCTTTAGGAAGAATTCTTCTCCAGTGGCAATATCGCTATTTTTACATTTCCTCTTTTTATGGTTTCCATTGCTGTCTTCACATTTAAAACCCTAACCTTTCCGTCTGATCCCGGGAAAACATTTACAACGCGACCTAGCAACCACTTATTTACAGGAAGGCCATCTCCCTTCAAAACTAGGATACCTATTTTCAAATTCGTTCTATCTGACTACAACTTTGAACGTTGTTGAAGAGTGTTCAAGTATTCTCCGTGCCATCGATTAGTATAAGTTGGACCCACCTACTACTTTTGTGCCATCTAGAAAGTCTATTTTCATTTACATTGATTAATTAGGGTTCAACGATGGCTGTCATTTGCCTTCCGATCAGGAAATCACCTGCAGTGCCTCTATATCATGAATGTCGAATGAAAATATATTCGATTTGTGTTTCTACAGTTAATAATTCCTCAAATGTTAGTCTTGCGTTGCATACTGTACGATTTAAGTGATATTTTAAGCATTTTAACCCTGCCTCCCACAACCAACCAATATTAGGAGGAATAAATTTCCTTTGGGTTCATTCTTCGGATAAATAATTAGCTAACCTTTCTTCATGATGCTTAATTAAATTGTTAAATTTTGCAATTCAGCGTTAGCACCTACAAAGTTTTTTTTGCGTTGTCGGAAAATGTAACTGCCATTTTCCCTCTTCTTGCAATGAATCACTTCAAAGTGGCAATGAACACAGCTGTTGTAATTTCAGATACTAATTCGAAATGCACTGCTTAAGAAGCAAACGAAATTTGCTAAGTATGCCTTATTTAGGATCTCCTTTCTTTATCCTTTATATCTTATGAGAAAACGGCCCCAAAATCTGTACCAACATAATTAAAAGAAGCACTGGGATTTATGCGTTCTGAAGGTAAAGTACCCATAATTTGTTTGAGTGCAATTGGGTTGTTTTTCCTACAGGTAACGCATTCATGCTACTTTTAGTTAATTCTTCTGTATGGCTAATTCTTTTCAAAGCTTTCGAAGCTACTAAGGTATTTTTATATAATACGCTATCCCTTGCTGCAATTATTTGTTTTGAAGTTAGGTGCATTTTTAACCCTTAGCCTGTCGAGTGATTATCTGCGAATCTCTTTAAAACTGTCGCTAGTTTTGGACCGAACTTCCCGTAAAATGTCGCGAAAATAACCCTAAACCTCTGAAAATTGTCAAGCAGTTCTTTTGTTATTTCCCATCCCTCCCAGAATTTTACTTCAATGATTCCGCTAAGTGAGATTGATTACTATATATTGTTCGGTAGATGTGAGCTCTCAAGAGAATTGCAAAAGGCTAGACTCTCCGTGATGACCGTCTTAATGCCGCAGGCTACAGCTGCGAAACTTGAAAGTTTCCTTCCCTTAAACAATCTTATCTCTACATATCTTCTCTACATATAATAAAAGAAAGAGTCTGTCTGTGTGTGTGCGCCTTTCGTTCGCGCTGCGCGTAAGCTAATAGACCCACGGCTACGAAATTTGGTACATAGGTACATCTACACAAGAGCCAGTGCACTTCGAAGCGATTTTTTCGAAATTCGAATTCGAATTTTTTTTATTTCATGTTTTGTGACGAAATCGTGTCATTTTGAAACATAATGGGCTATAGGAAAGCGAGATTTTACTCTACACACTCCATTTTCACATCGTCATGAAACGTAGGCACTTAGCTATTTTACGAACTTAAAATAAATTTCGTGTTTCAATAAATCGATTAAATACGAATTTATTTAACAAAGGGAGCTTAACACTTTTTCAATGGGATTTTTTCTAAAAAAGTTTATTTTTAAAAATGTACAGTTTATTTTTCTTTGATTTTTGGACACGTTAAACTTTCATCCTTGCGAATGCTTTTACAAAAAGAATTTTGGAAAAATGATAATATTTTGTATTTTTAAAAGATTTTTTAAATGAAGCTTCCGAGTACATTTCTCACATCTCACATCTTTAAAAATGTGATTTTGGCAACAATTTTCCTGTCTTATTGTTGTTGATAGATTTTTGATGAAATCGCATCATTTTGAATAGTTTCATTCTTTTAGAAATATGGGTTTGGCAACAATTTTTCATCGTATTTCTTATGTCACTGTTTTTAAGAGATTGGCATATTTCATTGTCATTTTTATATAAATATAATATATTTTATTGATTTTTTTTTTTTTTTTTTTTAAAGTTGTTCTGTGGAGTAAAATTCTGCGCGGAATTTTATGTTTTTTGAGTTGCTTTCATGTTATTTTTTTGCTTATTTCACTGTTTATAAGATATTGAAAAGTTTTTGCATGATTTTTGTTCTTCTACGGAAAGTTGGTTAATTTTTTAATTAGGATAATTAATATTTGTATTAAGAGATATAGCTTATTTCATTGTAATTTTTTCCCTTGAAAACATAAGATAAAATATCATTAATTATACTTTGCTTTTCAGAATTTTTTGTTTTTTGCATTCCTTTATTTTATTTATTGCTCATTTCACTGTTTTTAAGATATTGAAAAGTTTTGACTGATTTTTTTAGGAAACAAAGTTCTTAACCTCCTTTATACCATTTGAGTTCTTAAGATTTTGCAAAGGGAATTTGGTTAATTTATTTATTAGGATAATTAATATTTGTATTAAGGGATATTGCTTATTTCATTGTAATTTTGTTATACGTAATAACTTTTTTTTTATGAAGTTGTTCTGCAGAGTAAAATCCTACGCAGTTTTTAAATTTAACGTTTGGAGTTCCCTTCAGCCATTTTTCCGGTACATTTAAAAGCCAGACGAAGGCTCGCAGCGAAGCTGCTAGTTTTCAAATAAATTGGTTTTAAAATTTACCCGGTTAAATTTTAAATTATTACGCATTTTTAACCTAAGTAACCTAAATCTGTATGTCACTGATTATCACCGGAATTTCAATGCAGACTGATTAAACTGCTATCACTAAAATTATATTCTGACAAATATCTGGTGCAATTTTCATTCCTTCTGAGATATTGCTGAAACATTTCGTATTATTTCCGATTTTCTGTATTTTTGTCATTAATTAAAAATCTTTAAAACCTTCAGCATTTTCCTATATTCTTCAACTGCAGGCAACTAATAATTATTTTAAATAATTTCTTTTTTCCTTAATTATTACGTAGTTTTAAGAGAGTAATAAACGAAATATTTGGGTGTTTTTAAGGGTGATAATATTAATATTAAATTTGCATTTTACTTTTTCATATACATTCAAGATATTCAGAAAGGGAATTATAACATGAAACCGTTTTCAGTGTATCATAAATTTATTGATTCAAATTAAAAATTCTTGCTTTCCTGTCCAAGAAACACTAGTAAATTTTATCTGAAATAGGAAAGATGAGACATATTAATAACAAACAAAGCAATTAATTTGGAAGTCAAAGAACAAAAATCAGCGTTATATTTTCAAATTTTCACAGGACTAGTTTCGATGGTTTTACCGAACCATCATCTTCAGCTGCAAAAGCGCAAATGAACGAGATAAGATATAATGAAAATTAGATTGTGAAAATTTGAAAATATAACGCTGATTTTTGTTGTTTGACTTCCAATTTAATGTTTGTTCGGCTTGTTATTGTATCTTAATTAAAACAAAGCAATGTGT